AAAAAAAATAGAAAGAGATAAATAATGAAAAAAATAAATAAAAATTATTCTTTGAGGCTTTCTGTTAAGTAAACATAATTGTCACATAATTTAATTTTTTTTAATTAAAATTATGAGATATGACTTTTTGAATTAATTTCAATCACATTATCATAAAATTTCAACAGTTCTGTAGCAAATAGAAGAAGAACTTAAAAACAAAACAATGAAGAGAGAGAGAGAGAGAGAGAAACACAGAGAAAGCATTCAGAAGCCAATTAAATTACCGTTCATCATCATCACAACGGTCCAAAATAATCCACGAAGCAGAAGACTAGATCAGAAGATATCGAGGATATCAAGAATGAAGCCATTGCAGAGAGGGCAATTTCCTCTACTCACCCAAAGCTCCCTTGAACAGAGACGACAGAATGTATGGCCGCAGGGGATAAAGGCCGCGCCTTTATTCCTTACCTTACAGACGCAGCACACAGACGCAAATTCCCCGTCGTTTTCCAATGAATTTCCTTCCTTCCCTTCTTGTTCTTGTTCTTGTTCTTCTTCCAATTCGTCCTCGTCCGCCAGTAGCGCCATTAGCGATAGCTTCACGGGCATCTCGGTCTCTTCGTGCTCATCGTGGATGATTTCTCTCAGTGTTTTTGCCATGCTGGTTTCGTTGGGGACGCGAGAGCTGGGATTGGAGCTTCGGTTGTTGATCCTCTCCATTGTAGGTAGCGATCGATCGGGATCTGAGAATTTCTAAATCCAGAAGTGATTTGTTTACTTAAGAGGAAGATCGGTTTCTAGGGTTTGATTTATTCGCTCTCTCTCTCTCTAATGGGGAATGGGGCAGTTCATATAGGGCCATAGGCACGGAAAAAAAAAAATTTTTTTGTTCAATTTATTCTCGCTAAATTTACATTTTTAATATTTTTTATTTTTTTATGTTATCTTATAATACTTATGATGATATATACCCCTTATACTATTATACTATAAAATAAATTTTGAATAAAAGGTCCTATATGACCAAAAATTATTATGTTCGGTCAACAAAGGACATTCATAGGCAAATGAGAATGCGTCATGTCATTTTTTTACTGTGTATCACTGCTGTGTACTACTCAGTATCATCAAATTTCTCCTATATGACACATGATTTTGAAACGGGATACCTTGATAAAGATTATATTATGTAGTGACTAAAATTTTTTACTTATTATTATTATTATTATTAAAAAATAAATGATCAAATTATATTATAACTTATTTAAATTATTTGTTTTTTTTTTCTTATTTATTAGTATGATTACCCTATTTTTATTAATTAATCTAAAATATATTATTAAAAAGTTATAATTTTCTTAAAATCAAAATGAGTTATCAGATTAGGTTCAGGTCGTTCGAGTTGCTATCGGGTCAGATTTAGGTCTTTTTTGACGTTTATCAAACAAGACGGATTTGAATTGATAGAATTTTGATAGGACCAACTTAAAGCCATACCCGAACCGAACCCAACTCGTTTTGACACCCAACCTTTCATAACTAACGCTGCCCACGTAGAGGGAAATTATTGGGTTCGGACACCGGACGATGTCCGGAGCCCAATGAAAATGCGCCACATCACCTCATACTCGGTATTGAGCTCTGAATGAGCTCGGTACTTCACAGTACCGAGTTCAATATTACTGGGTACTGTGAAGTACCAAATGGTAAGCTGTGTCCAATGTCCGAACCCAATAATCTCTCCCACGTAGAAGCCAATTCTATCTCTAAAAACAAAGCCTTCTCTCCTCTCCAAACCCCGAAGCAAACTGCAACATAGAGGAGAAGATCGCTAACAAAGATGAACAACTAGAGAAAAGAAGAAGAGAACGAGATATATATTTCTCTCCCTCTGATAACAAATATCGATCAAAGACTCACATTCATCCTATCTTTGATTATTCAACGTGAAGAAAAATCTCTGCAACTGTCATATCTTTCGTCTGCTCAGACGATTCTGCCTCCCTCCATTGAGATCTTTTGATCCGAGCCTTAGGAGAGCTTTCGTCTGCTTTGTCATCGACATTATTTTAATAAGCTCAGCCCCATATTTTAAATTCCTCCAAAAGGGAACTCTATAGTAGTGGTCGATTTCCATACGGGTAAGTATTTTTTCTTCCACCAGCAAGCAACCATGCATACACTACCAGAAGATAATATAAACTATATAAGTGAGCAATCATAAGCATAAGGTAAAACAAAAATTGTAGGAATGTCCAATGGACACCTAAATGCTAAGGTTTGCAAGTGTTGTTCCAGGACTTAAAAGAAATTCATTGAATACCGGTGGAACATCCTACCGGCGGTTAAACTAGCGGTCGAACTGCCGTTATTTTTCGGCGGTCAGACCGTAGGTAAAAAAGACTAAACAGTCGAAAGTTCCACTGGTATTTTGTTTTTATGATGTATTTACCGGTGGTTTAGCCGCCGTTGTTAAGTGAACATTTTCAGGTAGGTTAAATCGCCGGTAAGTGACCTAAAACTGAACCCCCTGTAGAAACTTAACATAAAAGAACTGAGAGGAAATCAAGACCCAAACGGGAGAAAAGAATAATGTTATTATCTATTTGTAATACACTTAGAGGCTATATATTTAGAGCATTACATATAGATTGTACAGCTGTGCAAGTGTAACAGGCTAGGGATTAATGTACATAATGATGTGGTACTAATTATGTTTTCTTTTTATCCTATAATAGTCCCCTGCAAACTGACGGATCTTTGGTGATTGTTAGTTTGAGCCTCAGAAATTGAAACCTAGGAGTTGTTAGATTATTTGTAAAGGTGTCGGCGATTTGGTCAATGGAGCTGATGGGACGTAGTCATATGTGATTATTTTGTATGTGATCACGAATTAACCTGTGATTTATTTCAATGTGTTTCGTTCTAGCATGAAATACAGGATTGTTAGCTAGAGCTATGACCGATGTGTTGTCGCAAAATAGATCAATAAGGTTGTGGTGGTCTATGTTGAAAAATGAAAGAAGCTATTTGATCCAGATAATCTCGGCAGTGGCAGCTACTAAGGCACAATACTCGGATTCGGTGGGGGATCTTGCTACTGTGCTTTATTTCTTGACAAACCACGAGATTAGTGTCTGACCAAGAAATGAACATTATCCGGATGTGGACTTTCTTGATAGTGGATCGTCTGCCCAATCGGCATCGGAGAACGTATGAAGTTGAAGGTTTGATTTGGTGATAGGTAGCTCAAAGTCGAGTGTGCCGCTGAGATACCAAAGAAGTCTCTTCAGCAGATAGGTATGATTAGCCAACAAATTGTGCATGTGTTGTGATAGAACATTAATCGCAAATGCAATATCCAATTGCGTCAATGTTAGACACTGAAGAGATTCGGTTATGCGCTTGTAGGTGATTGGATCTGAGAGTAATGGATCTGAATTGATGGTAGATGATATCTTGGTACATGTTGGGTTTGCAAATGGATTGCAATTTACAAGATTTGCTTTCTACAGAATGGACTCGGAATATGATCTTTGTTAAAGAAAATGTCCAATTGTAACAGATTATATGCAGATACCCAGAAAATAGTTCACAAGTCCCAGATTTTTTATAGTGAATTTTGCTTCAAGTTGAGCGATGAGTTTGGAGAGAGCAGTGGAGTCATTACCGGTGAGCAAGATGTTGTCGATGTAGACGAGCGGGTATATTCGAATGTTGTCTTTCTTGTATGTGAGCAAAGATGGATCCACCTAACTGTGCTGGAAGCTGAGAGAGAGTAAATAATTTGTGAAGGTGGTGTACCATTGTCGTGGTGCTTATTTGAGTCTGTAAAGAGCTTTGTGTAGAAGAAATACATGATCAGGATGAGACAAGTCTTCAAATCCTTTGGGTTGTTTCATGTAAACTGTCTCGGTTAGATGCCCATGAAGAAATGCATTGGTGACATCAAATTGTTGAATGTTCCAATTTTGAAATGTGCGACGACAATGAGGATATGAATTGTGGGAAGTTTTGTGACGGGGCTGAATGTTTCCGTATAATCTATGCCATGATCTTGGTGATTTCCTTGAGCCACGAGACATGCTTTGAAGCTAGCAATGGTGTCGTGCGTATGTCTTTTTGTTCTGAAGGTTCATTTGCGACCTAGAATGGATGCATTTGGGGGAGAAGGAACTAGAGTCCAAGTCCTTTATTTTTGTAAGGCAAAAAATTCTACCGCCATAGCTTGACGCCATTTAACGAGTTCGATAGCTTCATTCTAGGTTGATCGTTCGGATGAGTTGGCAGTGGATTTTTGATGTAGCAGATTCAACCTGTTGCAGGGCCTTAGAGAACCATTTGCAGTCGTGTAATCATATGATGCTTGGGAGGCTGAGATGGATTTAGATGTATAGCTCTGATACCATGTAGAAACTTAATATAAAAGAACTGAGAGGAAATCAAGACCCAAATGGAAGAAAAGAAGAATGTTATTATCTATCTATAATACACTGAGAGGCTTTATATATAAGCATTACATATATATTGTACAGCTGTGCAAGTGTAATAGGCTAGGGATTAATGTACATCATGATGTGGTACTAATTATGTTTTGTTTTTATCCTCTAATCCCCCCTCCTTTTTCCTCATTTCGCCTGGCTCATTTGGTTCATCCAGAGAACGTCCGCGCTCGCCAAATTCCGCCCTACCACAGTCGCGTGCTTGTTTGGTACTTCAAAGAAGCCGTGACATTCCGCCCTTGCCGAATTAAGTATTTTTTAGCTTCTAATTTATCATTCAAAAGATATTCAAACCTGCAATGTCTACAATGGGATCAAATATTTACTATGCATACATTTGATGTTGATGTGTGTTTAATTACTTTAGGAGATGTGTCAAGTTATTTTTCATAGAAATATTTTTTAAGAGTGCAATAGTTCAAGCATGAGGATAATGAAAATTATTCTTGGAATTTAAAACTCTAAAAACTAATGAGTGATCTTTGAAATATTGTTGGCTTAAGTTATGTTTTATTTCTTACCTACGACCTTCAATGAAATAGATATGGATAATATAATAATCTTTTGACAAATAATGATTACCCATAACACATTTAAACATTAAAAAATTATAACATTATCAATCTTGCTCAAAATTGATCATGCAATTAGTATTTATAATCAATGAAAAATAAATATTAATCTTTATGTCTATATATTAGACTAAGTAGAATTTATTTTAATAATAACATCAAATCCATTAAACTCATGAGCCCAAAAAACTTTAATTAGATTTTGATGATAACAAATATTACTAATAAAATACAATTGATGATCTCAATCTAGAGCATACAAGGAACATATGCATCATAAAAATAATTCAAACATAAGAAGGAAATATGAATAGTTTGGGAAAATATTGAGTCTTTTTTAAGTAAAAACAAACCAAAAATAAACTTTGGAGATACACACCACATGGGCTTATTGCTTCTTATTGATGTATTTATCACACCTTTAAATTACCTATTTTAATAATTCATTTCACAACTATGTAGGGAATGTTTGCTTTAATTAACATCCAAATGACTATTCAATAAGAGAGATATTGGATGTATGACAGATTATCACTGGGTCGAAAAAGATTGACAAATGAATTTATGGAGGGAGTTAAGACTTTTATTCAAGTCGTACCTTCGTTTAAATCCGATTAAATATTTTGATGTCCATACTCGAAACACA